TGATTGGTGTCGTGAAATAGTTCAAAGATTTAACGGAGGTGGCTCAAATGCTGTGTTCGACATACATACAGGTGACAAAAGCTGGTTTTATTGTTACGATCCTGAAACTAAGAGAAGTCTGCTGTCTGGATGTTTGCTTCCGAGGAGTTGCCAACTACAGTGAAGAGAGGTCGAAGCGTGGGAAAAAAGATGGTGACCTTGTTCTTCGGAGGGACGGGTCATTACGCAACAATTGTTTTAGACGATCGAAAAACAGTTACTGCAGAGTGGTAAACTAACGATTATTTGCCACTTGTCTTGGAAAAAGTTCGGGGGAAACGACCTCGCAGTAGGATCCTCCTTCACCACGACAACGCCTCGTCACACATCGGCAAGCAAACAATCGACTACTTGGCGACGTCAGACGTGGAATTACTGGGTCAGACACCCTACAGCCTCGACCTCGCATCTTGCGATTTTTATTTCTTTTCGAAAATGAAAAAAAAAAACTTCGAGGAAAACGTTTTAAGGACGCCGAGGAAGCAGTGGCTGCGTTTCAAAATGCCGTCGAAGAGACCCCTAAGGACGAGTGGCCAAAGTGCTTTTCTCAGTGGTTCCATTGGATGCAGCGATGTATTGATGTAAATGGACACTATTTTGAAAAGATATAATAAAACTAATATCTTACTAGTTTGTTCAGTTTTTGATTTTCTAAGAACTTTCAGTCACAGTGGAAGTGTTGTCCCTAAGGAAATTATTATTATTATTTAAACATCTTTAGGTTTATTTTAGTAAACCGGTATCATTGCTTATGAACGAGCTAACAATTTAGAAGCGGATTATATGCATGATAGCGGTGGCAAGATCCTGTTAATTATTCTTGTAGGTCAAAAAAACGACGCAAACGTAAAGCGAACAATGAATATTTACCCAAATTTGGTAAGATTTTCCTAACTTTCGTACAATAGGTAAATTTGAAACAGCAACTTTTTGAACTGAATGCATATAATTTAGAAAATCGTTTATTTATGCTCAACTAGCCTGTTATTTTTTATCATTTGTTAACATATTTTTTATATGATAAGGTGACAAACGAGCACACAGTACATCTGATTGTAAGTGGATGCTGTGACCTATAGACATCTACATCTATCTTCAATAAAGAATCAAAATGCAGATGCGTCCTCACCCGTGAGGACTTAGATGGAATACCTCTTTTCCAGTAAAATGGGTTTCCGGTTCTCTACACTCACCATACGAAACAGCAGAGTCAAGCTGCCATTTTACGTTGGTATTCTGTGAGAGCATGGTCCTACTACACTACTAATATAGCTGCAGCAGGGCTCTACCACGTATAAACGATAATATATTCGAAATTATTTGCAATTTCGATCGTTGATTGATTACTCGAAGATAAGCACTAAGAACCGTCGTTAGAAAACATGAGGATGAGGTCACGTGAAGTCTGCCTACGATCAAGAGCAACCACTTTTCTTTGCTTCATTACCTTATAACCGTATACCGTATAAGTTCATTACGCTTTTTTATATAAGATTACTCTTGTAATAATTAAACTTTATATTTAAATACGTTAATTACATTTTTGTTGAGTGTTACAATTATTGTGTATTAAATCTAAACACGGGAATTTCAGCAGCCCTACAGCAAAATGGCGGACATTAAATATGCATAGTTTAATTTTCTCGCGATGGGAAACTGGCGAAATAAAGATCTAATTATATTTATAATATAGTGACTGATTTTTTTCGACATTTATTTATCATGTTTGCTCTTATAATTTAATGCCATGTACGACAGTTATATAAATTAAGATTAGATAATTCTAAAATTCGTGATTTCGGCCACCCACGGACCCTGAGACTGATGTAGTTGTAAAAGCAGACACTCTAACAGCACTAACATCTCAGATCATGCTAATTATTAAAATACTTTATGAAATGCAAGAGCGGTCGTGTCGTCTTAAACAATACATTTTTAAGAATACGCATTTATTATGAAACTTATGAAAATATGCTAGCCCACCAGGCAGACGTTGTTCTGCCCTTTCCATAAAAATGCAATAAATATTTTGATGGTCATTTATCGGAATAAAAACTATCCTATCTCTCAAGTTGGACCAAACTGCACACAGTGTGCAAAATCTCATTGAAATCAGTTCTGTAGCTTACATAGGAGTCCACCGCGGACAAACAACGTGACACGAAATTTTTTATATAAATAAAGATTATAAAATATTCTATAAGTACACATATAAATGAAATTGTAGTGTCTATCTGTAACATTGAAATAAGTGGATTTTTTTTAAAACTCGGGGGTTGTTTGCATAGGTACTATTAAGACATAAACAACCATTTTTTTTAAATTTTGTTCGTCTGTCCGGGCTACATTTCGGAATGGCTGTACCGATTGTAATGAAAGTTTACGAACAGATAGAGACAGAGCAATGCCTGGAGGGATCTAGACTATAGTTTATTCAAAAAAAAACTTGATAATTTTTTAAAAACAAATGGTGAAATGGTATTTGATAATCTTGAATGTAATTAATGCTACATTAATAGATCCTATCTGGGCGAAGCCGGGGCGGATCGCTAGTAATAAATAAAAATAAACTACTACGACGGGGAAGACTACACATTGAATATAATTTTGCTTCATGGATTTTGTAGCGGTTAATATTAAGTTGTTATAATTGTACCCCGTGGATATGGAAGTATCTTTTAATATCTAAAATTAGGCAATTGTTTTTAATTCTGATGAGATACGCAATTTACAACTGTACCATAACAATTCACTCAAGTATCAATAAACCTATAACTAGTGATTATGCAACAACATTTGACAGTAAATTCAACTATATTATTGATGCCAGGCAGGCTATTGAGGCTTGGAATATGCCTCATTGCCCCAATTTTTATAAAAAAGTTATTTAAAAAATTCTTAACTTGTTACTAATTAAATTTATCAAACGTATAAAGCCTCCTGTATAACGCTATTATTAGTCCTGTGGGGGTTATCGTACAAGCTGTGTTGCGGGGAACAAAAGCTCCACATCACATTTATAGCTTTTGTACACGCCCCTAGCTGCCCCAACAAAAATCGACCAAACAGGGGCCAATACAGCTGTAGATTCGACGAACAGCTAAGGGTGGGGCTCAAATGCCTATGGATATTTAATATATGTGGATTAGGTACTTAATGCGACTTACCTGGTTCAGAAGCGAAGACGGACCACCAGGCTCGTTCTGGCGTTAGGTGTAGTGAATGTAAGTAGTATGTGAGAAGTGTATATATGTTTAACCTCAATTAGCCCTTTTTAATCAGCAACAACCCTGACTCCAGCGCCGCCCCCCTATGTGGTATCACTCCAGCGGCGTCACTCGGTGTCACTCAAACTCTAGCGTTCCTTAGCACAAATATATAATCTAATACGAACGCTGGCTCTCGCGGGTCACAAAGTTTAGCGGTTGTACCGACACAGGAAAATATCTCCGAGTTAAATCAAATGGCACAAAGCAACTCGTCGACACGAATTAATATTGTCAGAATTCACTTATGCATGCAACCACTATACCACTTGACGCTTGATTAATTAACTTCGTACAATTAAATAAATTGTACGAAGTTAATTAATCGCTCAAACTCAAAATTCAGCCTCGTTGACACGTAAAACAAACAAAAAAACAACGCGAAAATGAGAGGCACTTAAATCGACGTTATAATTCCACACGCGTCGTTTACAACCGGTAGTTCCTCACAATGATTCTCTCTTCAATTCACTATGTCAGTCTAGCAACTTTATTGTACATTTAACTAACTTCGAAACTCAACTAAATCCCGTTAATTATAATCAAAAACGTAACACGCGGCACGACTAATGAACGGTGGTTCAAAGTTCACTTCCGTTCACTCAGCAACAAATTATTTCGAGAACCGAACGCGACCTTCTAAGGCAGTGATCAGGCGACCCGAGTAGACTCACTGCAATACTTAGACAACCTAATCCGAGACATTCTTCACGAAACACAATTTAAGTAGCGAAATAACGCGCACAAATACTGAAAATCTGGACCATAAAACCAAAACTTGTCGCACGAAATCGCTGCCACGGTCACCACAAATACGTTACGTTGCGACGGCGTTGCTGCACTCAAGCTACTGTTTTCGCCCACGAGCGCCAAACGCTGGGAAGCTGCATACCGATGCCCCCTCCCCGCGATGCGGGTGACACCCAACATCATCGAGCGATTCGCTAAGTCGAAGGCGATTGGATGCCGTCTCAAATGACCATTTTGGGCCTAAACAGATTTTTTTTTAAATATGAATACATCTAAAAAATTTTTCTGTGATTTGTATCATTTGTAAATAATGAGTAGTCCCAAAAACATGTAGCAATTACACCACACATCCGTTCTATGATTTTAAAGAAAATCTAAGTAGAATGCAGTATATTTTGTTGGCTTGTATGTTTTTATTACTACAGTGTTCAATCACTTTTTACTAAGCGCTAAATGTAGGACAGAGTTCTAAGACACAATTTTTAATTCACTAAGACTCTAAATAGCCGTCTACAACAAAATCTATGAGTGTTGCTGGGAAAAATCTGAAAAGAAAAATATCAAAAGAGGGAAATTAATTATTCATCATCATCATCATCATCATCATCATTATAGTCCTTTCACAAGTCCACTGCTGAAGCTTAACATAGGCCTCCCCCAAGGAATGCCACAAACCACGTTCCTGAGCCATCTGCATCTATCGACTTCCTGCATGTCTTACCAGGACGTCACTCCATCTAGTACTATAATTGCGTTTTTATGTATTTTTATATATTTTCGGGAAAAATGTTTAAGTGAGTGTTTAATTTGATATATCAAATTATTAAGATCATTTTTGTTTACTTATTTAACTTCTACATTTTTATTTTATACTGTATGAAATCTCGTTATGTAGTAAGCTTAAAAGGAAGAGATAACTAATGATGTATATTTCTCCTCCCCCAGGTCTTCATCGAGATGGAAATCAATTACAGATCACCGTCGACAGTCGTGGAGGCGCCAACGCACGAAGAGGTAGATATCGGCAATTGGCGACCTACAAGATACAGAAGAGAAATACCATCCGTGCATGGATGCAGCTTTTCCATGAAGGAATCGATTCCAGGCTCCTCTCTAAGCTCTGCAGGGCACTCTGATATAGATGATGAGCAAGCACTGGAAAATATTCAGCACAACATCGCTACCATAGAAAACTCGCTTAAGAATACGGAAACGGTAATCGATATAGAATCGGGAGATGAGTCGCGAGTTCGCAAGTTAAAAATTGCTGGAAAACGCATTCTAAGGTAAGTCAATTGGAAATTTAATAAAAATTTTATTGCAATATCTCGCTTAGACTCCTGATTATATTTACTACCGACTTCAAAAAGGAGACGGTACTCAATACGACTGTGTTATATTGTAGAACCGATGTCGATGATTCTTTTTTATTTGAAAGCTGGTGCTTTACATGTGGTCCCATATAAATTTGATCAAGATCTGACCAATAGTTTTTGAGTTATTCTTAATAATTTATATTGAAGCCTGTTGTACAATTTTTTTAAATTTTACTGCTAATTTACTTACAACACGCTAAGTCGGAATAATATAATAGCCACTAGATCGATGAAAGCATTTATTCATACGAAATACATCAATACAGCATTAAGCTGCTGTCAATGTTATTTCTCTATATATAAAAATTGCTGACCGTTAGTCTCGCTGAAACTCAAAAACGGCTTGACCGATTTCGATGAAATTTTTTGTGTGTGTTTGAATGGTCCCTGCATGGGTTAGATTCACAATTGAACTCGATATGTAGCGCTGTGCAAACATAAAAAAATTATATTAAAATCTAAATCATCATTGAAATCACCCGTGCGCAGCCGGGGGGGATCGCTAGTTATTGTATAAATATGTTACCGTTAGTAGTTTTTTATTATTACGACTGAGTGGGCTGTAAGTAAAATTAGCGAAACAAAATATGAAAAAAAAAAACGGCTCCTAAAACTTAGCTTGAGATATGTTATGTTATGCCTCCTCTATATATATGTTATATGAATGATAACAGTAATATGCATGATCTATGTAACTGATTACTTAGTGTCCTACGTGAGTGAACACAACGCGAACGTGACTTTGCGCAATGCCAGTATTAAGAGATCTATCGTAAAGTGGTGCGACACGGCTATGCAAACTACACCAATATATAATATAATATAAACTTGGCATGTGTGTTTATGACGTAGGATCGAGAGGCTGCAAATGCATGCTTCGCTTTCACGTTAGGTTCGGTATGTACGACATCGCATTGCTACTGATCTATTTTGGTAAGTTAGGGGCGAGGCGGAACCCACGGAAACACCATGACTAAGTAAATACAAAAGCTAAATATTTGCAATTTGTTGATTCACAAAAATCGAAATACAATCCTACGCTGTCAATGTCGACAATTCTCTATTACTTTCTTTCTTCTGTCTTTTATTCCTGAATCTAAAGTAACACTTTTACGAAAAGATAGAGACGGACTTGGAAGCAGTGCAGAGTGCGTGGAATGTTATAATACTGAAAGTAATATTTTTGACAAATTCTTACAATGTAGTTGGCCGGATTCTAATCATTAAACCACATGGACGTCACAATAATAGCTAATATTTTATTTTTCTGTGGTATAATATATTACCATTCATATAATATACGAGTAGCTAGAGAAAAAATTAGTTACAGACTACCTACACATGTGTGCCGCTGATGGGCAGAAGTCTTCTCTCATTTAAGAGTGTTTCGAAACTGAGTCCACGAAGCGTCTTCTGTGAAACCTTACAATTTTTCTGCTTTCTCTTTGCCTGAATATTATACAAATATATCGCTATATATATATATATACAGACACACAGTTCACCTGTCGTTGCTGTGGCCCTTAGACATCTACATCTATCCTCAACTACGAATCAAAATGCAGATGCGTTGTCACCCGTGAGGACTAAGATGGAAGCTTCGTTTCCAGTAAATAGGGTGTCCTTCTAGGGTCCTTCCCCGGTTGAGCTGACCCTACCACATATATTTTCTACACACACATATTATATATATATATATATATATATATATATATATATATATATATATATATAATCCTATATGTTACTACTTAGTGAATGTAGAATACAAATTAACTGAATCAAATCAGGTCGTTGCAATGGTTTTTCAGAAATATTTTACTGATATTCCGATCTTAACCAATATAGCACTGAATTCTGCCGTCGCCGAATCAGTACTTAAATAAAATATGTCTATAATAGATACAATCGTGTCTCATCTAGCTATTATTTTTAATACTAGAATCTGGTGTGTTTCTTGATTTAATGAAGCATAGTAAAGTAATACCTTTATTTAAATCTGTTAGAAAGTTAGAATATTGGACCCCGTCAATTTTAGACCTATATTTCTGTACTACCAACACTTTTTGAAAAAAGTGTTCTTGATCAAATGTTAAACTTCTTTACTATGAATAATTTACTTCATAAAAATAAATTTGGTTTCGACAACTGATGCCGGTGTTGAGCTGATTAAACATAATATCTTAAATGCATGGAAGAATTCATAGGATGCTTTGGGCATATTTTCACCATGAAACATTAATCAGGAAATTTCAACACTACGGTGTAAGAAGTGATGCTCTTAAAATAATTATTTCATATTTAAGTAACAAAACACAAAAAGTTGTCATTAACAGTAATATTACCGGTCGATGGTACAAATGGGCGTGCCTCAAGGCTCAATTCTTGGCCCCTTTCTATTTTTTGTATACATTAATGACTTACCTTACATAGTAGGGGATAACTATCATAATATAGTATTATTTGCTGATGATACTACTTTAATTTTTAATTTAAAACGACAATTACTAAGATATAACGAAGTAAATAATTGTATATCTAAATTTAGTAAAAAGGTTCAATGTAAAAAATTTGCATTTAAATGGCACTAAACCGAACTGTATGAAATTCATAATTCCAAATGTAAAATAATTAAATACTAATGTAATTTTAAAGTTTTGCATCATGTAAAAAAGATTAGAAATCTTACCAGTGGTGAAACACCTAGACAAGTTTACTTTAGCTATTTCCATAGCATAATGTCATATGGTAATTTGCTATGGGGACACGCGACTTGCACTGAAATTATATTTGTTTTACAGAAGAGGGCCATAAGAGAAATTTATGATTTAAATACTAAAGATTTGCTGCGACAAAAATGTATTAACATTTTAATATATTAACTTTGGCCTCTCAATACATTTTTACAAATGTAATGTACATACGTACACAAAAATAAAAATAGTTTTACAAAAATAAGTGATATTCATTCTGTAAATACTAGGAACCGACACAAGCTAGTAGTAGCAGTTAATTGTGTCCACTGAGTCAGTAATTAATTCTTAGGGCGATGTATAATACGCTTTTACTACAATATCCCAGAAAATATACAAAATTTAACCTGCACAAAGACTAAGTTTGTATAAAAAGGGTTATTATAATATTAGGGAATTTATGGATGATAATAACTCCTGGGAATGAGGTGATTACTATCAAGCTTTTTCTAATTTGTTGTGTTGTGAATTGTGTAAGATACATAATTGTAAGCTGTTATTTAAAAAAGAAGTCCCGCTGGGTTTCTTGCTGGTTCTTCCCAGCACATAGGTTTTTTTTGAACCAGTGGTAATTAAACAAAAGAGTGACTTTCAATAAGTATTATTTATAATCTTTATCAAATAAAAAAGTTTCTGTTTCAAAAAATTATAATGCTAAATTTACTAATATTTCACGTAATATTCGATTAAAGAATATGATGTAGGCAGACGTTTGAAAAACGAAATATTAACTTCTTACATCGAAAATAAAACGTTTCTATTAGTTTGCTAGCAGCTGTTCTATCGTCTGTTCTATTGTCTGAATTTAATGTGTTCAGGATATTTCAAAAGCAATAAAAGTTTTCTGCGGGTGTGTGGCGCTAAACAAATCGAATAATAAAAAATTTGGCCAGAATAAAATTTACAATAGTGGCCAGTGCAAAGTGAGTTTAGTAATAAATATTTTTTGCCATTTATTATGTTCTACTGAGCATTGAGCAGTAGTTAAATACCATTTACTGTACACTAAGAAACCTATTAACATACTAAGAAACAAACTTAGAGAGAAAAACAAAAAGCGGTCTTATTGTTTTACAGCAACTTCTACCAGACAACCTAACTTAATAAAATAAAAAATTAATTAATAGTTCGAATGCGCTATAAATAATGCTATAATCTAAAATTAAAATAAGAAAATAACGCAATTTACTTAAATATGCGACTAGTGATTATAAAAATACAGGAAAAGATGAAAGGTGGGAAAAAGGAGATAATAGAGAGAAGGGTAATGTTTTTTAACTTGTTTTGTAAAGGAATCTATTACTTGAAACAAAGTGAAGTGAAAGTGAGTGCAGAAGAAATAGAAGGGAAAGGTTTTTTTGGACAGAAGGGAAACGTTATGAGAGGATCTAAGAAATTGAAAACGTTTCTTGAGTTAGGGGGGAGTTGATATATTAGAAATGCCGAGTCATTTTTAGTATATCAGATTTGATATATTAAAAATGACTCGGTAGAGACCAGAAAGCATATTTTGAGTATTACGACGAAGGCGCATTGGGAGTCAGTCACTTATCGCTTATCGCGATATTCCAAGAAAATATTTGTATTTACGAAGTCAAATTATGATGGTGTATATATATATATGGATTTGGAGTCACTCAAGTTTATTAAGTTGCTTTTAGGGAATAGGTGGGATAACTTATATCAGCATAATCGAATATAGGGAGCAGTAAAAATTGGGCAAGCGTAATTATGGTGGAGATGGTTAAAAAGTAGTTCATTCTTTATAATGAACCACAAGCTGAAAACATTATACGACACACTGCGTTGATTTGAGGAGTCTAGCAAAGCCTGAAACCTATCAAAATTGCCAAGTTTTTTTAAGAACGCTGTGAAATTACTTCAGCCCGAGAAAATAGTACGACAACTCAGATATAATACTATGAAATTAAACATTAAACTAGCTAACAAAATGGATACCTGCCCTAGAAACCTGTAGTGTATAAACTGCGGTCATTGGCTGATTATATGAGATTAGTTAGCAACTTAGTACCTGTATTTTAAAAGTTAGATAAATCGATACGTATTTAGCTTTTTACTAAATTAAGGTAACCTCTAATATAAAGTGATAAGTATCTATGAGACGTAGCGTAAAATAGCAGCTCAACGCTGCTGTGTTTCGTATGGTGAGCGTAGAGAATACTGCCCTTTTTACTGGAAACGGAGCATTCCGTCTTAGTCATCTGCATTTTATATCGTAATTGAGGATAGATGTAGATGTCTATGGGCTACACTAACCCCCATTCACATCATCATTTACCTTCATGTGGCCTGTCACCCTTATTCTATGAAAGAATAAGACTTTTTGTTAAAATTTAAAAAAAAGAGTAGGCTCCTTTTTTGAGGGTCCCTAAGTCGTATCGGTCCGGAAAAGTCACTGATGATAATTGATTCCACAAGGAAGTTGTGCGAGGAAGAAAACATCTTCTAAGTCGCACAGTGGTGGACCGCCAATCATCCAGATGGTGTGGATGGTATCGGGATTTCTGCCGCGATGTGCGTTCGGTAAATTTGGCGGCTGGGATATCCGAACAACTCCTCAGAGCACTCCCCGTGGTAAATGCGAAAGAAAATGGAAAAGAATACAACATCTCTTCGCAGTTCCAATGACTCGAGCCGATCGGAAAGGACTCGGTCGGCGACGATTCGAGCCACTCTGCGCTGGATGCGGTCAAATGGAAGGAGCTGGCACTGAGGAGCCCCTGCCCAGAGATGGGAACAGTATATTCCATGTGAGGCCGAACCTGCGCCCTGTAAAGTTGCAGGCGTTGTGCCGGCATGAAATACTGTTCCACTCTGCTTTTTAGAGGCCAATTTGGCCTTCTCTTACAAGTGACCACGAAACTGCACGTTACTCGATATGTCGACGCCGAGGATTCCGATACTGGCAGAGGCAACAAGGGAATTGCTCTGAAACTGAGGAGATACGACAAAGGAGTTCTTTTTAGCGGTAAACGCGCAAACTTGTGTCTTCTGAGGATTAAACTGGACTAGATTTAGTCGCCCCCAATCCGAGACTTTGTTCAGCAAAGACTCGACTTCAGACACAAGTTTGTTCCGGTACTCGGCGACGTTTTCCCGAGAAATATTGGCACGGCCGGTGTATAGAACATCACCAGTGCTGTCATCCGCATAACAATGAATGTTACCAGTTTGCAACATATCATTGATATGCAGAAGAAACAGCGTTGGTGATAGCACGCAGCCTTGTGGAACACCAGCGTTAATGGGCTTGTAATCGGAGCATGCACCGTCTACAAGTTTATTTGTTAGGTATAATACTAATGCTCTTTAACTTTTACTTTAATTTACTTTTATTTTTATTACAAAATCATTACTTCATTTATGATAAATTTTACCTAGTTTTCAAGTAACGGAATAATATATCATATTTATTAGTATCATGGCTCCTTATTATTTTGGAGTATATTCTTTTTTTTTATTATATTGTTTTTACGGAAACATACAGCAATTTACAATCAATAGTTTAGACATTTATTTCAAAATTGGGATTATTTTATTTTCTCCTCGGTTGTATGAGTAGAATCTAGTTCCCCGAATTCCTAAATGACAGAAACCCAATAAATACGACATCCAACACGTGAACAACACCTGTCAAAAACCTGAATACGACATCCAACACGTGAACAACACCTATCAGACACTGCAGCTTAATTGGAGTGGTTGGTAGAATACAACAGGATATTAAGTAGTTTAAAAAAAAACATTGTACCAAAGTATGTACATATATATTTAATAAGATACCATTACATAGCTAAAAATAAAAAAAAACAGCTACAAATACGGGGGCTGATGACGGCGATGGTTGACGACCATGTGGGTTAATATTTAGTGCAACGGCTGATTAGTATTTTTCTGTAGTTAGAATCAATGTTATCTATTAATTTTAGACATAAATTGTTGTTTTGTGTTAATACAACCCAGTATATAGTTGCGCCTTACTTTGATAATGAATGTATTCATTATGAAAGTAATGAAAATGATAAAAATTGCTTCGTTGTGAAGTCCTTTCAATTTGTTTCAACGGAACGGATTAAAAGGACTCCCTTGTGATGCCGATATGTTGCTTTTTAAACTTACCACTCCACCTTGCAAGCAAATCGTAACGAATGTTTGACACTAAATTTGCCTCCTCAGATGCCACACGTATTTAATCACAAATTGGAACTTCTTTTTAAACCATTAAATTAACTTTATACATTTCTAGAGCTTGGCGAAGTTTTTATATTATTCTTATTAAATTATAGCAAAACAAAATTATATTTACTCTTTAGACGTGGTTTCTCAATGGGCACTGAGAAGGTGGTCAGCATTTCGGAGCGTAAGCGCACTTCCACCTTCAGGAATATGAGATCATTCATACGTATCGGCCGAAATCGCGGAGGTCCGAGCAGCGGAGATGAGGAGCAGGGCCTGCTCGATATGCCGGGCCCCTCTACCCAACCTGATCCAGTCATCAGCCAGGCCTCGATTTCATCGGATGAAATTATTGTCGGAGCCCAATCGTCTGATGATAGACCATGGCGTAGGAAGTTGTAAGTAATTTTCATAGCTTTCTTCTTCATTTTCAGCTCGTTACATTCTAGTGCTAGCTATAGTTTTGCACGTAATCGGACCTAGTGGACTCACGGTCTTCTATGCAGTAAAACGTCTTTATAATTTTATATGATGTGTGATTATTTAATGGCTATAAAAAGTAATGTTCTAAAACGACTTAATATGAGTACATACACAACTATAATTAAACTGGACACTGGCAAACACAAGTCCCAAGTCCTCAAGAGCCAAACCAAATTGGGCTCAAATTATTGCCCTGAAATATACCAAGCTTACAATTATTTCACCGGCCATCTGATAGATTTAAGGCAGTTTTCCACCAATCCATGCATTTGCTTAGAGAATTAAAAAAAACTGTCTCTCTAGGAATAAATATATTTCTTCTGATCCGTTTTTAAATACAATACGAAATTAGAAAGGTTTAAGTATTTAATTTTTATCAATAGTAACATTTCATTATAAATATTAGTTATTGCTCATTTAGTGTTTGCAATTGCTTAGTTATTTTATAATAAAAATGATAAAGGTGCTAACAATCCAACTGAAAACTGAAACCGAGTACCTGCAATCAACTTTAAACAGCGAAAGAAAAAGAACCTAGATTTAAAAAATATCTAGGATATTTTTCTATCGCCGAGGTAGACCTAGATTTATTTTAATTGCTTACTTCTAACATTTCCATTAGTTCTATAGTGTAACAAAAACCAATTGCTATTTAAATCGAAGTTATGAAAAAATAAGTAGGTAAGTAGAGAAAAACATACAATATAAAATGACAATTTGTCTTCTGCCAGACGCTGTGCTATCGATACTGTTGGTCCAGCTGCTCTTAAAGAAGCAGACTTCCAAGTATGCGTGACAATAATCGAGGCCCGCCACCTCTCAGGAGTGAACGTGAACCCAGTAGTTTGCGTTCAAGTAGGAGACATTTGCAAGTTTACTAGTGTCAAAGAGAGCACCAACTGTCCTTTTTACAATGAGGTAAGAATCTTTTTTTTTTAATATTATACATAATCGTCCCGCCCTAACTTCGCACATCATGAGCTAATTTAATCAAAATATTTATAAATATTGCACCTAAATCTTTCTTGTGAAATAGACTGTGTAATGGAGAACGACCTTTAAATATGCCCACGGTAGATACCAGTTTTGTTTAGAATAATTTTTATTCAATTCAAGAATACTTATTAAAACCCATTTAGTTTATTTACAACTTTGGTTAAGAAAATACCTCTCTCCTGCCCTGGCTTTGTTTTAAAAACTTATATACATTACCCCATGAAGGAATTACTAACTCTTTGGAGTGGAGTAATAACAATAACAAACTTTTGCTTGTTCCCAGTACAGAATGTACATCAGTATTTTTAATTAAACTGTTTTTGTTTAAGTGTACATAAAATTTTCGAGAAATGGTCAATATATTTAAAAAATTCGAAAAATCATTTGAAATTTCAGTATTCTGTTTTTTAAAAACTCTATAGGAGGTAATTCACATAGCGATGGACCTACAGATCATCGATAAAACCGTCGCAACGAGAGCTCATTTATTAAACCGATCTAATTTATTAAACCATCAAGTAGAAGTAAATCTCTTGTCTAACCCCCCAATAGTATGTATCTTCAAAGACATTAAGTAGTAGTAGTATATTTTAAATCTCTTTGTGTATCTTATATTTTAACACATCTAACAATAAGTCTTTACTGTAAAAATCCACTAATCTAATGATATTTCCCCGTCTCGTTCCATGGATTTTATAATTTAAGGAACTGAAATATATAACAAAGTAGAAAATGTTTTCTTACTTTTCCCAAACCTATAAGAACAAAAGATTTGGATTAAAATGGATTTCGGTATTATTTAGTATTTCATCCATAGACTCCCTTTACCTTTATTCAAATTCAGTGATGTTTTATACGTAACAATAGTTTTCGTTCACAATACAGTACGGCATGTTCGTTCAATAGCGACATAGCTCTCCCAACATTCTATAACAAACCAAAATCTTTGTGAAGGAACAACCTCACATAACTAAGCAAACTAAAACAATTGTGGTAAAATTCTAACTCATAATTCAAAAACCTTTTTCATTCCCTCATTTTTTATTTAAGACGGACAAACGAGCACACGGCTCACGTGATCGTAAGCGACGACCATCGCCTATAAACAACAGCAGCGTTGCCAGCCTTTTAAAATGAAGGTCCCTAGTTCGTAAAGGTCTGGAAAAATTGCTAGTGATAGTCGATTCGATATTATCGAAAATTTAATGTATGTTCACAAAAACAAAGATAGTTTTAGTAAAACAGTGATACACACTCTGTAAGCACTAGGAACAAAAGCAAGCTAGTGATACCGGTCTCTCCACTCCACAGAGATAGAGATTCATTCTTGGGGCAAAGTATACATACAATCTACAATATTACGGTGTAAAAAATTTGGCGCTTAGACATATTACTTCATACTTAAGTAACAGAACTGAAAAAGCCGTGATCAATGGTAAGCTTCCTCCGGATCGGTAGTATCAATGGGCTCGATTCTTGGCCCATTGTTTGTAATGTTTTTAATCTATATTAATGACTTACATTATCTTGTAGGGGGCAATCACAATATAGTATTACTTGCTGAAGATACCTCTTTTATTTTCAAACTCAAACGGCAGTTAATTAATTATGACGATGTAAATAATGGTCTATCTAACTTAGTACATTGGTTTAATGCCAACAATATGCTCTGAAACGGCAATAAGACAAAGTGTATTAATTTACAATACCTAATGTAAAACAAATGGGGAGGAGTTAATTCTTGTGGATACCACTGTTTTTCTCGGTATTACTATTGACGCAAAACTTCAATGGGGCCCCCATATATCTAAATTAGCAAACAGACTTAGTTCCGCAGCATATGCTGTAAGAAAGATCAGAAGTCTCCCAGATGTTGAGACAGCTAGATGAGTGTATTTTAGTTATTTTCATAGCGTAATGCCTTATGGAATTTTGCTATGGGGTAATGAGACTGATATTGAAGCTATATTTGTTTTGCAAAAGAGAGCCTTTCGGGCAATTTATAACCTAAATTGTAAAGAGTCCCTCAGACAAAAATTTAAAGAAATAACCATATTAACTTTGGCATCGCAATATATTTATGAAAATGTAATGTATGTACATAAAAACATAAATAGCTTTAATAAGAATAAGGATGTGTGCTTATGTTTGTTCCTAGTGTTTAAAGTATTTAAACACTAGGAACAAACATAAGCTTGTAATACCAGTTACTAGACTCCATAGAATCAGTAATTCATTTATGGGTCAATGTATACGCTTTTACAACAAAATCCCAGAACATATTCAAAGTTTGTTCATAAACAAGTTTAAGAGTTTTATTAAAGAATAACTGTACAAAAAGGGTTATTATAATATCAAGGAATACATGAATGAAAATAGCCCCTGGGAATAAGGTGATCGCCACCATGCTGGTTCTATGAAAAATCATTTACAAATTGTATAAACGAAGTTATTGTTAAGTGAAATATGTTTGAAATTAAAAGTCCCGCTGGGTTTCTTGCTGGTTTTTCCCAAGACAAAGGTATTTTCCGACCCAGTGGTAAATAAAAAATGACTTTCAATAAGAATTATGTAATAATCAATATTGAATAAAAAATTATTCTATTCTATTCTATTCTATTTTATGCGCTATTACAACAAAGCCCCAGAAAATATACAAGGTATCTCCATTAACAAGTTTAAATATTCAATTAAACAAAAACTGTATATAAAGTTTTATTATAATATAAATGGTTGATAATAACCACTGCGATTGAGGTGGTAGCTTCCAAGCTGTTTCTAAAATAAATTTTGTAAATAAAATAGTTTGTAATCATTTATATTGTAAAATTTATTTTTAAAAACAGTCCCGCTGGGTTTCTTGCTGGTTCTTCCCAGTACAGAGGTTTGTTTGCGAACCAGTGGTAAAATAAAAAAATACTTTCAATAAGAATTACTTGTAACCGATATTGAATAAAATATTATTCTATTCTATTTATAGCAGCCTATCAAAAGTCCATTGCTTAAAATAAGGCTTCCTCTATGAATTGCCTCATAACAGGAATACTTGCCGTTGCTACGCTCGGCAGGCAGGTTGGTTGGTTGGCTGGAAAGTCGGCATTCATAATAATTTAAGTTGTTATCAGAAAGGTGATACTGTCCATTTCCTATTTCATATTCCACGGTCGCCTCTTGCAACATCCACGGACTACGTATCTGGATGATACGGGTTTGCGGATTCTCTCACGCTGCCATTAAACGGCATTAGCTTCCACCAATTACCATAAGTAATTGTAAGACAGGAGCAAGTAGTTTGAAAATCATTTTATAATTATTATTATCATTGCATTAATTCTTTTAAATATATATTATATTCTATCGTTTTTATGTTTATAGTATATTTTATATATTAACTATTTATTTATGCCAAGCAGACGAGAAAACAATAGAAATATTTATTGTGTTAAAGTAAAAAGGTATAGTTAAAGTTACAGCCTGTATATACGTCACACTGCTGGGCGCAGGCCTCCTCTCATTTTTGAGAGGGTTTTAGAGCAAGGAAATATCCGGCGCGCTGCCTCAATGCGTGTTGGTTGCGTGTTATTTTTTTCTTATTTTTAGACACGCAGCTTTCCGCATGATGTTTTCCTTCACCGTTGAGCACATGGTAAATCAGTACTTAAAATTGCTATTTGCAATTTCATTGGTGCCGGACGGGATAGAACTCGGGTTGCTCGCGTACAGTGAAATTTACAGCTTACAGCGTATTGTGATTGTATTACCTATTCATAAATTTATTAAGTGATGTATTTAATTTAATATTACTATTATACTGCCTTCCATAAATTCGTTACCACGAGTACATTCATTACAGACCTCCCACAACAACCACTGATTTATATAATTTTGAGTTGATTTCAGAAGACGCGTTGTCTTGCATAAGGGTTTGTTTATCCTAATTCATATTATTTGTTTACAGTACTTCGTGTTCGACTTCCACACGCCAATTGCAATGCTATTCGACAAGATGATCACTCTTTCGGTAAGACCTATTAACTACATAGTATGTTCTTACTCTAAGTTATATTAACTAAAATCATGCGTCGACAGCACAGCGAAAATTGCAATGCTCGTTGCGCCTTGAATACGTACCTATTTTGTTTTTATATAACTTTTTTAATTTACCATAAAAAATTCACCTCACGGTATATATAAACGGGCTGCCAGTAAGTATTTTCGAGTCTATTTTACTTCAAGAGTATATTCAAAAGAAGAGCCAAAGAAGAGCCGGCCAGTAATAATAAACCCTCAGAAAGTAAATACGTAACTTTAGAAAAGAAAATATTTCCATCTTATATTAATAAAGCTCGTGTAGTCTGGTACAGATGGATGCGGAAAAGGAATTAAAATCTCTCGCTGTGCGCACCAGATTCGACTATGCAAAACTCTTAAGGAAAAAAGTTAAATTACGCCAAACCTTTACTCTACAAAGCGTCTTTAATTAAACACAAATAAAAAAAATTATTAATTGCTTGAAATAGCTCTATATTGTAGCAAATAGGAATTGATTTTACAGCTGTTGCGTCTGCTTACGAATAAGTTTATAGTTTCTCCCATTGAGAACAAACCTTCTTTCTTTATTCAGTTTTTTTCAGCCTTCCAAATAAATAAGTAAACACGTAAGTAGGTACGTTACTACATGAACATTTCTAGGAAAGATATGATCGATAACGAATGGTTTCTACGAACGCATTAGAAATATATACTGAGCCTAACCAAAGGCTTTTCCAATTCAATCCATATAAAGTTGTTTATAAAAATTAATTGATCGTAATCGTTTGCCCTAGTCGAGATTCAAAACAGAATCATCACCTCAAATCACTTATTTATTTTATATTTGAAAACTGTTAAAATAAATGGTCTTTGATGGTTGTGTAAAATCAAAATAACGCTATAGTAATAGATGAAACAAAAACTTATTTAATTTGATAGTTTTCAACCACAAGTGCGGCAAAAAAATCAGATAAAAGTTTAATTTTATAGCAAATAAATGTTACAATCCTTATTTTTATACATTTAGAGCCTAAATTTTAATGTTTATAGTAAATCAGAAGAATATTTTCTTTCGACTGAAATTGCTTTGTAATAGCGACGTCTACTTCATTCTGCAGGTAAAGTCATTTTATGGAACAAAAATTTATTGACTCAAGGTGGTTCATAAACCCGTAAGGTATAAAATCGTGGATTGTTAAGAATGGTTTGGATATGATAATTTTATAATTAATATAATTAATTTGATTTATTTGAATTATTTAAATTTGTAATTATTTAATTCTTTATTTTAACCAACGACACTGAGGAGACTGAGATAATAGGAAATACTTTGTACTGAACTAGCTGTTCCCCGTGGTATGACCCGCGTATATCGCGCGTCATGGCACCTCGTTTGTGTGTTCACTGCTGGTTTCTCTGGGTTCTCATCGGGTGGCTAGGCGTCGTTCGCGCACCGAGCCGAGTGTTGAATTATTTAAATTTTTTATTTTCTCTTAAGCCATGCGTCCAAATGACATAACATGAAGAGCAAAGTTTATAATCAAGAAATTATCTTGATAATGAAGTAACTTTCGTTCGTAAGGATTAATATGCCATGTCTAATAATAACGCTCATAAATCACTTTTTAATTTCAATACTTTTTGTCACAAAATACATTATTGTGGCTTATGTATAAGAAATAGGCCTATAATATTGTGTTTTTTTCGATGGAGGAACGAACTATATTTTTGTACAACGTAGTATTTACGTATGACTAACCATTACGCCAGCGCACGTGGATAAAGCAGCTTAATCAATAATCAATATTTAGGGAAGTGTAGCCTACTGTTATACTGGTATAGTATTTCTAGTGAATTTGGCTACCATATACGAGTACAAAAAGGATTTATCAAATCGGACTGCTAGTTCTAGAGATTGGCGTGTTTAAACTTTAAACAAAGAAAAAACCTCTTCAGCTTTATTATATTAAGTATTGATTCTATCTCATTCTCTTGTAGGCCTATCCTATAGATTTATACAATATTTGTCTGTTTATAGTGTCCCTTTTTCGTTTCATTGTGTTTCAAATTACAGCGATGCTATAGAAGTTTTCACTCCAAAAACGAAAAATAGGTACTCTGTATATTGAAATTAAAATAAATTTTAGTTAAAATATTAAAACCACCCAGCTATAAGCCAGGCTTCTGAAATACGCAGCAAATAAATGAATATCTCGAATCTCTGTACGAAGTGCACCATCCGTAAAAAACAACATCGAGCGAAACGCTCCCGGCCACCCACAGTATTACATATTCCTTCTGAATATGAACACAAAGCTTCCACTAAATCCAGTTAAAAAACTTTTACCATAAATATTCTTTCACATTTAAGCCTTTGAAAGCCATTACTCATATTTTGTACGTATAATTAGTACGTATTAAGCGTACATCCATAAATTTTCCAAATTAATGTTCAAGCTTTGAATATTGATTGACAAAAGCAACTATAAATAACTTGAATAACCCAGATTAGGTTATTCAAGTTGTTTATAGTTTATTGCGTATTTATTTATTTTTTTTAAATTCATGTAACCAGTTGCCAGATATTTCATATACACTTCATGTGAACCGTTTTAGTTTAGACGGCAACATGAAACAGTATTCATACAACAAAGGCATTGTTGTCGTATTTCCATTGTCTGTCTATTCTTTTCTTTGAGCTAAATATCGTTAGATTTCCACACGCCACTCAATAGCCAAGTAGATATATTCATATTTATATACCAATATCCTTCATACAAGATTGCAATAACCTTCGTATTTACTGTATAAATAAAAATTTCTTACAGTCACATATGTTGCATATATAGGCATCACAGTAAATTGCATGATATTGTCGTGACGTCATAATTAAGAATTTAATGCAACGTCTACACACTCGCCGAGCACAGATGAGTAGGCACGAGTACGAGTGTGTAAACGCCTTGTTCGGGTGTTCTCGCTACCCGGCCCGAGTACTCGCCTGTTCTCCATTTGATGTCGGTTTTTTGGCACGAGTAAAACGAATGCTCGTGTGTATTCGTATCGGTGTTTACATACTCGTCATTATTCGCTTGACCCATGAACTTTTAAACTTTATTTTTCTTAGTACTAGTCGTTCACTTCAAGAATGCCGTTACCTCCCGCCGCGCCCCCTCATTCCGCGCCTTTTAGTACCGATAGCAACGTCGAAGTGTACTTTTCTGTTGATATTCGTTAATTTGTTTTGTTATAAGGAGTAAAAGAGGAAAGGTCTTGCACAGTGGCGAACGCAATTTATTATATAAGATAATGACATTCTTTGAACAAGAAAAGGTTGAAAAGCAGTTGATAACGCCTTATGATGTTCAAGATGTCGTAGCTATGAAAAGTATTGCCAGATTAAAAAATAAAAACTCACGTGATACTTGTGCCAGCACACTGCCCACTCAGCCCGATGCACCGTCGGAAATAGAAATTAAGTGGTTGGAAAATGAAAAGAAGTACCAGGCGCTATTAAAATCATTTGATAACGTTATCAAGAGAACTGCGGCCGCCACTGGACGTACTTTAAGGAATATGAAGACTGAAGCAAAAAAAAAATTAAAACGAGCTCACCTGAGCCCAGTACTTCAAGTACACAAGAAATAAAATTGATGTCACCGAGAAAAAGGAAAATAGCCACAAAGAGGTTGAAAATTGATGATTTCATGGTGTGTTCGATTCGAAACATAATTGACCGTTTCTACACAGTTAAAAAGGAAGTTCCCACGATGCGCAAAATATTAGCAGAAGCAAAAAAAGATTTCAATTTTCCTGGGCAAAAATTCACTCTCTGGAAAATTATAAAAACGAGGCTTGGATATAAGTTTACAAAATGTAAAAATATAAGACAATATCTTATTCAGAAACCGGAGATAGCAGCATGGAGAGCACGTTACTTGCGGAGATTACGTGAAAATGATGAACAGGGAGTCTATAAACAACCAGTCATATATTTGGATGAAACGTGGATACACAGCCACTATACCGTTTCAAAATGCTGGCAAAATGCAACTGATGCAAGCGAAAAAAAAATTTCAATCCCGGACAACGTTGGATTGTAGTCCATGCTGGCAGCGAGAATGGTTTTGTCAAAGGTGCCGAACTCCTTTATAAATGCAAAAGCACTGCAGGGGACTACCATAATGAAATGGACGCAAATAATTTCAAAAAGTATGTACAGGAAAAACTCCTACCCAACTTACCTCCCAATAGCATTCTTGTACTTGACAATGCACCGTATCACAGCCGCCAGACTGATAAATCACCGACTTCAGTGGTACGCAAAGAAGCTATGCAAAAATAGTTGCAGGAAAATGGTATATCCTTTGACCCAAAGATGACGAAGCGAGAATTATACTAAGTAGTATGTCGTTCGAAACCTACCAAAATATGAAATTGACGAAATTATCCAAAGTCATGGACACGAAGTCTTACGCCTACCACCGTAACAATGTGATTTGAATCCCATCGAGTACGTGTGGAATCTAGTGAAGCAAAAAGTAGCCGATAAAAATGTAAGCCAGTCTGAAAAGAAATACAAAAACTCACTCTGGAAGCTATTAATAGTATCTCTGTAGAGGACTGGAAAAAAGAGGTAAACCACGTTGACCGTTTACGGCCACAATATTGGGAAAGCGATAGGTTGCAAGAACTCAACGAAAGAGAATTGATTATTTCGGTGGGCGGAGAGACTGATGGCAGTGACACAGAATGGAGTGATGACAGTGACACAGAAATGAGCGATTTCGAAAATTTTTAATTTGAAATATTTAAAATGTAAAATAAAAACTATAAATAAATATTTTATTTTATCGAACACGTTATTATTTCATCATCATCATCATTATCATACAAAAATATTTTATTTTATCGAACACGTTATTATTTAACTTTATTGAAAATTTGAATACTAAAAAACATAAACATGATGACTTTTTTCGTCTACGG